CGATAGGAATATTCATGAACTACAACTGACAGGTATTCCCGCCCAGAAGCGCGTGTTGCAATAATTTCAGCTTCCCAATTGGTTCAAATTTGCATGAGAAAGGACACGATTATCGCACATGTTTTATGGCGCGAAGTTTTAATGAGATGCAAATGATATGCAAATGAGCGCGCTCCCATAGTTAACCATGGCGATTTTCGCTCACTGAAAAAACGTCTACATACAAAAAAACTAAACACAAATCAACCATTTTATTTTGACTAAAATGCACTAGTTCTTCTTAAATTTAGTATATTTTAAAGTCAACACATCATGTTACCCGGAATTGTTATTTTTAGTTACGAAAACGATCAAATGACAGGTGCATAAATACTTTCTGGCGGGTCTGTATCTCCTTATTCTACAATCTGTTCACACTTAAAGCCTACAAAGTATGAATCCACAAAATGTGTTGTACTTTGGCAAGTCTTGATGTATTGGCACAATAATTATTATTCAATAGATACATAATAAATTTAGTTGACATTTACCATCACATACTAAACACTTTATAAAAAACATACTGAATACCAACAAAATGACAGTGAAGAAACACCATATCATACGGTACACTCACTAACTTCCTATTGACCACAAAGTTTCACTTACCATTGTCATGAAGAATTTTGGCAACTTTTTCTAAGAAATCCTTTTGTATAAATTCCGTCGGTGGACTGCTAATTCCACGCGTCTTATCTTTACTATCAATATCAAACATTATTATATCATAAACATTCTCACTTCCTGCAAAAAAGTATCACATTTATATTACCAGAGATGTACAATACTTGGGGTTTGCAATGCGCATAGTACTGTTTGGTGACATCATGTCAATATCCCATTCAAGTCTCATCTCGTAGATAGCTACGAACTTCTTCTCACATGACATATACTAGTATCTGTGTTCAAGGTTCGTAATAAAACATGTCTCACCACCATCATAGTTAAAAAATGTAATACATCAAAAATGTACAGAAAATATAGATATCGTAATCCGTCATATCGTGAGCAGCTATTTTGATCACCTAGATCTCCCAGTATTCTAGTTACCTTGGGCATTGTTGCAAGTTGGGAATGCTTATGCGAGAGCAAGATTGAAACGGGATCTTGGCATCATGCCACGCTACTTGCAAACCCCAAGTAATGTACATCTTTATTACATATTCGATATCGCAACAAACAAAAACTATAAATAGAAAAACTG